GGCGAAATCTATTCGGCACTGATTTTAAATAACGGCATCCTAATTCATAACAGGGCAGGCAAATTTAGATATTAAGAAACATTGAGACCAAAACTCAATCGCGGCACTTTGGCATTTTAGGATAAATGATAATAAACGGCGTTAGAATAAAATCTTATTTGACCTAAACATTAATCACTAAACATCAAAATAGGGCGAGAGAAATCCAGCATTAGTTGCTTCGCAGAGGAGAGATTATTATTGACTTGTGCTTTTTGGTGAAGTTTGTGAAATGAAGGTCAGTCAGACCAGCGCGATTCTTTGTTCAATTCCCTGCCTTCGTTTCTGACGGAGACCCACTGAAGACTGAGTTTCACTCTGCAGCACCCTCTTTTTTCTTGTCCGAGTCTCTGGATATTTTCACGATAATTATATTGACTTTGTAGATACGCGTCTTCAACTAAAACAAATTTTATTTTTCACTGAGAATTGTTTTGGCCGGTGTGGTATTGTGACAAAAGTGAATGAGACCCTGGGGGCATGAGAAGCAAACTCTCACTTTCCTTTACGCTGCCCACCCCACTTGGGAACAAACTGCTGAATTTTCTAAGTGTCCAACTAGCCCCAGCTGAAATGAAGGGATCAGATAAAACAGACCGGGATTTTAAAGTTGGAATATTAAATGAGGACAGAGGAATGAACACCGACTCGGGGCACAGTGAAAGCAGCCCGGCAGGGGCGAGGAAGGCTAGATTCCTTTTTTTTATATATTTTTTTTTATTGTAAATTAATGGACAACAGAGACAAGTTTTATTTCTTCAATAAAGTATTGTCATCTTCAGTACCCGTGCTCTTTACTTTGTAATCCAACTACTTGAGTGAACCAGATAAACGGCCTAAAGGCTTGGACACAGCAAAACATTGCGCGCAGTAAAGACTTGTTTACATCAGCGACATAAACACAAGCACAAGTTAAGTGCGGACGTAACAGCACAAGAATAAACACAAACAGAGGAGAAAATACGCAAGTATTCTTCTATTCACACCAATAATTAACTTACTTAAAGCACAAGTACAAGAAAATCAAACGCGATCGTTTTATTCTTCTTGCGCTTGCTCTTTAATTTTGTGAATTAGTGATGATCAAGAAAAGAATGAATGTGTTCCTTCTTCCCATGTTTCTGCTTCTGCTTTTGTTGTTGACGATCTCACTGAACTCAATTGTACCGGTTTTGCTTGCGTTTATATCGCTAGAATAAACTAATCTTTAAGTTACACCGTTTCCCAACCAAGCGATTGTTGCATTCAATGTTGTTAAGGATTTATTGAATTAAACAAATTGCACGTCGCAAGCAACAACCTCAGCGCTAAAAAACGACGTAAATTTACTGCGCGCAATGCCTCACTGTGTCCGATCCGTCTGAGAAAACCATGAGGACTTAAACAGCAAAGGACAAGTGTCGATGCAAACTTGGAAAACAAAAAAGTACTTGACAACACTATTAGGAGAACTTTCGCCCACGCAAATTCCTTTAATTTTGCTGATAAGCAACATTTTAAGGTGTTTCGATTGAGTTTTTTGGAGACCATACCGATATTTTTCATTCGTCTTAAAAAGTGATTTTATCCCTGTCTGATCGTTATGAGGTTTTCACCACTGAATGATTTTGGATAGAATAGCCGAGATAAATTGTTTCATAAAAAACGTTCAAAATGACTCAAATTAATCCTAAGTAGCGCCAGACTGCTTCTTAATATCACATTTCGCTGCTTAGAAATTTTGCTATATTTCCTTTCATGCGATCCTTAAAACTAAGCTTACAGGTCCAAGTGCAACTTTATTCTAAATTTTGATTTTTAGCGCTTCTCTGTATATCTCTATAACGGCTTGACAGAATTATTTTTATACTTCACCAAATAATCTTCATGACCTGCATAATAATGTCTGAAACTTTCATTAAATGTATTTACATTCGGCGGAGCTAAACGTAGTGGCAGTGACAGAGAATGTAAATACTTTCCTATTGGTATGAACGCACGTGAGCCGTTATGGCGTTAATTGTCTCTATTGTTATTAGGTATATAAGGTTTTGACAGTTGTAATGTATTCATCTCAGCTCTCGAACTATCAACTTTTAAAATGCCGTCCGATGCTGATCTCGCGCGAAGCATTTCCGAGCTCAAAGACGAGTTTCGTTCTGATTTATCTTCTTTAAAGAGAGAACTTGCACAAGAACAAGACGCTGCGCGGAAGAAGCTCAAGACAGCTACTGCTAGTGTTCCGAAATTTAAAAAGAAAGGCAACGAACAGCAGTTCTTACTTAATTCTGAAGTTCTTGAACACGTTCGTTCTGCTTCGACCGCCCTTCAGGCGTCTTCACCTCAAGTTGAAAAGGCCTTGGAAGAGTTAGAGGAAGGTTCTAATTTTTCGAATCCGTTCGGTGCTGTCAATTGGCCTAAGGCTCACCGTGGTTCGCGTGTTGGCAGTTGCTTTGCTTCTGGCAGTTTCGGCCATTTCAGGAATCAGTGCCCCGTCCTTCAGGCGCAGTTTTCTGCTAGCCAACCTGGGAAACGTACTTGATGGACTGGGATGTTGGTGCACTCGTCGAGGACACAGATAAGTTAAGGAACTTTGTTGAAGATGATTTTGACTTTTTTGAATATGAACAGGGTCGTAGTTCTACTATCGTTGTAGCCGGTAGGCTTAAATCCCATATTCAGTTTTGGCGTTCTATAGGTGCCAGTCAATTTATTCTGGATGTTATCGAGCATGGTTATCGTATTCCTTTCCACTCTACACCCCCTGTTAGTTTTTCTTAGTAATAATAAGTCAACTTTGGCGCATTCTGATTTTGTTAACGAAGCTATTTCCGAATTGTTGGTTAACAATCGCATTTTTGAATGGGAGGTCCTGCCCCATAACGTTAACCCTCTTTCCGTTTCTATTCAGTCATCTGGGAAAAAGAGGTTGATCTTCAGGAGGATCTTAGGTTTGTAAATAAGCATGTCTGGAAGCAAAAGGTCAAGTTTGAGGATCTTAAGGTTGCTCTAAATTATTTTGACAGGGGTCATTTCATGTTTTCATTTGACATTTAGAGCGGTTATCATCATGTGCTTATTTTCCCGCCCCATCAGACATTTTTGGGTTTTTCCTGGTTTTATCAGGGTAAGGTCCGTTATTTTTGTTTTAGGGTCCTGCCCTTCGGCCTCTGTTCAACCCCTTGTGTTTTCACAAAATTTTTAGGCCTCTCGTTGCCTACTGGAGGCGGGATGGTATTCACATTGTTGTTTATCTTGATGATGGTTTAGGGGAGGGGCCTACAAATCAGGTTGCTTTAGCCCATTCCACCAGAGTTAAGGCTGATTTGGTTCGTTCTGGCTTTGTACCCAACTTCGATAAATTTGTTTGGGTTCCTACATCAGTCCTTGATTGGTTGGGTTTCATCATTGATCTTTTTCAGGGTTTGCTTTTTGTTTCGGGGATAAAGCTCAAGCGGGTTGTTTCTGATATTGATTCCCTTTTAGAGGCTAATTGTTGCACCGCCAGGGAACTGTCCGCTCTTGCTGGTCGTATTAATTCCTTTAAACTAGCTGTAGGTAATGTTACTACATTGATGACAAAGTTTATTCATATGTCCATCGTCCTTCAGCCTAGTTGGGACTCTAGGTTTCCTTTGTCCGATTCTGTCAAAGAAGAGCTTTTTTTCTGGAAAGAGAACGTTCGGTGTTTGAATGGGAGGCCCATTGGGCGTCACTTTTCATGTTCTCGTTCCATTGTTTATTCAGATGCTAGTGACCTAGGGGTTGGCGGTGTTGTTAAAGACCGCCAGGGTGTTATTTGTCATCTTCCGTGGACTGCTAATGAAATGTATCGCAACTCCACGTGGCGTGAGCTTAAGGCAGTCTATAATTATTTGTCTCTCTAGTTTTTTCCGTAGTTTTGTCAGGGCGCGCAGTTCAATGGTTCACGGATAACCGCAACATTCCGTCCATTATTCGCAACGGGAGTATGAAGCGGGATTTGCACGAAATTTCCCTCTCTATTTTTCAACTAGTTTTGCGAAATGGTATTGACTTGCAGGTGGACTGGATTCCTAGGTGTCTCAATGAGCACGCGGATGCCATAAGTAGGATCGTTGATTTTGATGACTGGGATGTTTCGTTTGAATTTTTCCACCATGTAGACAAAATTTGGGGTCCACATTCCGTAGATCGTTTTGCCCATTACCATAACCGCAAATTACCCAGATTCTTTTCCCGTTTCTGGAATCCTGACTCTGAGGGGGTGGATGCCTTTTGTTTTGACTGGGCGGGGGAGAATAACTGGCTTGTTCCCCCAGTGTCCCTTGTTCCCCGGGTTGTTAGGCATTTGTTTGTATGTAGGTCTATGGGCACTCTTATTGTCCCCAAGTGGGTCTCAGCTCCATTTTGGCCCATGCTCTTTGGTCCCCATTCCCCCTTTTCCGTTTGCGTTAAAGAAACCATTGTTTTTACCAATGTTTCTAATATTTTTGTTCCGGGCTCTACAGAATCTATTTTTGATGGCCCTAAATTCAAGTCTCATGTATTAGCCGTCCGTTTGTCGGCTTGTTAGCTTTGTTCTTCTAGGCTTAGTTTCCTTTCCGCAGTTACGTGTAGTTACCTTGTTTAGCCTATATTAAAGTTTGGTTTATTATTTTGAGTGATTTGTTCTGTTTTTTCTTTTGCCTCGGTGGCATTTATGCGGGTCTCGGTGACCTTGTTTGTACCTTCACTGATCCCGACGGGTGGTACCGTTACATTTTTGTGTGACCTCGGTCAGTTTTTAATCCTTCCAGGTCCCCCATATATATGGTCGAGTGCGCCTCGGTGGTCACTCTCTTATTATCTTATGTACCTGTGTGATAGTTGTATCTACATATTACGCGCGTTTCCTTTTACCGCTCCTTTTTTCTCGAGCATCTTTCCTTTTTTTAAGTCCTTACATTGAATCCATATGGTCTTCTATTTCTTCTGTATTTTCAGATGTTTTCGCTAGCCCTATGTGGGCTGAGCTTAACGATGTCAAAGCTCCCTCCCTACGCTGCTTAGCAGAAAAGCTACCGGAGATAGTCCTTGGTTCCAGGGCAGATTCCACTACTCTCACCTACCTCAACGGTTTTAAGCGATGGCGTGGTTGGGCCAACAGATTTCCCGAGGTCGCAGTGCTGCCTGCTACTCCGGCTTATGTTTCTTTATACTTGCTCAGTGTTTTCCAGTCTTCTAGTTCTCCTGCGCCGGTCCAGAACGCCTTCTATAGCATTCGCTGGGCTCATGATATTGCTGGTTTCGACTCTCCTACCCGTGATCATACACTTCCACAGAAGGTCGTGGAGTCCGCTAAGAGAAGGCTACTACACCTTGCTTCCAAAAAGCTCCCCATTACACCCGAAATTTTACAAAAGTTGTTTCAGAGTCTCGATGGATCTTTGGTGGACACAAGATTCATGGCCATGGCGTTATTGGCCTTTGCGGGGTTCTTAAGATTTGATGAATTGTCTAATCTGAAGCTTAAGGATTTAGCGCTGCATGACACTCATTTTGAACTTTTCATAGAAAGCAGTAAAACAGATCAATATCGCGAGGGCGCTATTGTCCCCATTGTCAAGTCTGGCACGGATCTTTGCCCCTGGGGTAATTTAGAGAAGTATTTATCGCAAGCCAAACTCACGTTACCGACATCTTCCCAAGGTGGAGACGACTATTTGTTCGGAAATATTCAAACCAAGTCTGGCTCTCTGTCCATCCGCCCAGGCTCCAAACTGTCTTATACAAGATGTAGAGAAGTTTTATTGAAGAAGATTGCAGACGTAGGCTTAGATCCTAAGTCTTTCTCTTGGCACAGCTTCAGAAGTAGCGATGCATCTGCCGCCGCTAATGGTGGTATCTCTGATAGAATGTTTAAGCGCAACGGTAGATGGCGTTCGGAAAACGCTAAGGATGGCTACGTTGCAGACTCGTTAGAGAGCCGATTAGCGGTCTCTATGTCTCTTGGACCGTAATTGTTTCCCGTTCTTTGTTTTTCTCAGCAGCTCCTTAGTTCGAGCTGCACACCCATTCCCGTCTCTTAGTCGTGAACATAAATAGGAAATGTATTTACATTCGGCGGAGCTAAACGTAGTGGCAGTGACAGAGAATGTAAATACTTTCCTATTGGTATGAACGCACGTGAGCCGTTATGGCGTTAATTGTCTCTATTGTTATTAGGTATATAAGGTTTTGACAGTTGTAATGTATTCATCTCAGCTCTCGAACTATCAACTTTTATTTTTATGTCTTACTTTATTCATCTATCGCTTGATTTTTTACCTTTAACCCCCAGAGGTTGTGCGACCGCATCGGTTGGGGAATACGTTCCCAATTTTTTGCCATTGGGTTTTTGGGTTTTCGTATCAGGCGGCGCACGTGAATAGTTTAGCCTGAGTGACTTTATTTAGGGATATTTGTATACCATTCTTTAGTTATGATGTTGAACTTTGTATGATATTTGGACGGCATTAAACACTCAGGCTCCTTAGTTCGAGCTGCACACCCATTCCCTTCTCTTAGTCGTGAATATAAATAGGAAGATTGACTCACTGTAACGCATTGAAATTTCAAGGCAAACGTTGCGTAAACCCGGCCAAAAATCTGCGTTAGTACAACATTCATTGTTTTACGTTATGCCAATTTGTCCCAATTAATGCGGACCATACATTTTATTGTATGTTTTTGAATGTAAAACATTGACAATATTCGCACTAAGGCGAATGAACAATATCGATATGGTCTCCGAAAAACTGTATCGAAACACTTTAAGGTCTTTCTCAAACTCGCACCAACACTCGTATTTTGAGCTTAAAGTACTACCTGGTTTAAATCAAGAGAGAGCTAAGTTCTGTTTCTGATAAACTCTTGGTTAAACTTTCTGGTAAAAATCAGACTAATCTTTAAAAAACACCTTGCATGTCGACGCAAAGTACGCCACAAATAAGTGATTTTCAGAAAATAAATAAACGAAAAAATATATTGACTGTGTCTTATTCTTATGAAATAAAATGGTGCAGTCTTCCTTGTCGTGGACCTCGGGATTGTCCCACAGAGACAAACGCCTTGCGGGACGATCTCAACGATAACTGCAAACAAGACTACGATTCTGAAGCAAACTGGAAATAAAAAGAAATCATAACGCACTTATTTGTGGCGCATTTTGCGATATAAATAAATCAATGATAAAGTCAGTCTGAAATTACACACTAAGGGTTATCCAAGATCTTTTTTCCTGATAATGTGAACTTCTTTTACTCCCCAAGTGAAGAAAATGCTAATCCCCCTTGCTAATTCTCACGGTTCGTTATAATAATAAAGTGATTTCTCTCGTGCAAAACCAATACCCTAAATTGTTGTTTTCTTATTCTAACCACCCTTCCAGCTTCAAAACTTATTGGTTGTAAGTCAAACGATCCCATAGTTCATGGCGCCAAAAGCTAGTACCCACTCCCCTTGCAGTTTGGGCAATGCAAGGCAGATTTGAGATGCATCTTAAAGTTCACAGTAAATAAACGAACAAATAAACTAGCAGAGACATGCGATCCACCAAGACTATATAGTGAAGACAAGTCATTCATTCAGTCATAAATCAAGTCAAAGTCAATAAATCCCTAAATTATTCAGTCAATACGTCAAAATCCCAGTTGAGCAGTAAATAAAAAGGTATATCGGTATGTCATGAAATCAGCAAGTAATGAGGAAAATTGATCATCTGTTAGAAAAAACGCACTCTTGGTCCATAAATATATTGAATTTCTTGGTCGCCATATCCGGATTTTTTCAAACGGTTAACCCGCCATGATTTTGGTAAAAACAGTAAATTTCTTCTTTGTTAGTTTCTGGACAAAATAAGCTATGAAAGAATATTTGATAATCATCTAGTTAGATAACGAGCCTTTCAATACTATAAAATTATTGACTTTACATAGTCGCCATATTGGATTTTTTTAAAGGGGTTAACCCATGATTTTGGTCAAAAAAAGGAAATTTCCCCTTTGTCTGTTTGTGGACAGAACAGGCCTTGAAATAATATTTGATGACCATTTAGTAAAAAGAAGCCTCCCTAGACTATAAAAATACTCATTTTATATAGTCGCCATACTGGGTTAACCCATGAGTTTGGTCCGAAATTGGAAATTTTACATTTGTTTGTTTTGGACATATTAGGCCTAGAAATAATGTCTGATGATTATCTAGTTAAAAATCAAGCCCTCGCGGACGATAAAAAAATCGATTTTAAATAGTGGCCACAGTGATATCTTTTCAACCCCAACCCATGATTTTGGACAAAAACTGGAAATTTTATCTTTGTTTATTTTTGGATAAATGGGCCTTGAAATAATGTTTGATGGTCGCTGAGGTAGAAAACAAGCCCTCTTAGACTATAAAAATTTGTCTTTTGAAAGGTCGCCATACTGAGATTTTTTCAAAGGGGTTAACCCATGACTTTGATCAAACATTGAAAATTTCCTGTTTGTTTGTTTTTGGGTAAAATGGGCATTGAAATAATGTTTGGCGATCATCTAGTTAAAGAACGAGCCCACCTAGACAAAAACATTGATTTTACATAGTTGTCATACTGACATTTTCTTCGAAGGAGTTAACCCATGATTTTAGACAAAAGTTGGAATTTTCCTCAGCTGTTTTTGCTTTGTTTTTTAACAAAATAAGCCTAGAAATAATGTCTCATGATCACCTTGTTAGAAAACAAGCCCTCCTAGACTATAAAAAATGGATTCTACATAGTTATTAAAGTCAGTTAGTTAATCAGTCAGACTGTCAGTCAGTCAGGCAGTTAGTCAACCAGTCAATCAGTCAGCCAATTACTCACTCAGTCAGTCACTTAGTCAACCAGTCCGTCTGTTAGTCAGTCAGCCAGCCAGTTAGACAGTCAGTCAATCAGTCAGTCAGTCAGCCAGTTAGTCAACCAGTCAGCCTGTTCGTCAGTCAATCAGTCATTCAGTCAGTCAGTCAGTCAGCCAGTTAGTCAACTAGTCAATCAGTTAGTCAGCCAGTAAGTCAGTTAGTCACAGTTAGTCAACCAGTCAGTTAGTCAGTCGGTCAGTCAGTGTGTCAGTCATTTTGTTTTTCGGTTAAATGGGCATTGAAGTAATTTTCATGTACTAAACGAAAAAGCCCACCAAGACTAAAAAAATATTGATTTTACACAATTGTCATACTGAGATCTTTTTTAAAGGAGTTAACCCATGATTTTGGAGAAAAATCGGAAATTTTCCTTTTTGTTTTTTTTTGTTTTTAACAAAAAAGGCCTAGAAATTATGGCTCAGGATCATCTTGTCAGAAAACAAGCCCTCCTAGACTATAAAAAATAGATTTTACATAGTAGCAATATTGGGATATTTTTCAAAAGGGTTAACCCATGATTTTGGTCAAAAAATGAAAATTTTATCTTAGTTTGCTTTTGGACAAAATAGGCCTGGAAATAGTGTTTTGAGGATCTTTGAGGAAGAAAACAAGCCCTCCTAGACTGTAAAAAATACGATTTTTCATAGACGCCACATTAATTTTTTTTTTTTTTTTTCAAAGGGGGTAACCCATGATTTTGGTCAAAACATGGAAATTTTATCTTTGTATGTTTTTGTACAAATGGTCCTTGAAATAATGTTTGATGATCATTGACGTAGAAAACAAGCCCTCTTTGACTATAAAAATTTGGCTATTACAAAGTCGCCATACTGAGATTTTTTCAAAGGGGTTAACCCAAGATTTTGGTTAAAAATTGGAAATTACCTCTTTGTTTGTTTTTTGGCAAAATAAGTCTAGAAAATAATAATGTTTGATGATCATTGAGTTACAAGTCAAGCCCTCAGCCAATCAAAGGTGATAGCAACGTTTTCTCTTTCAACAAATTATTCAGCCTGTATAAATTTTTGTCCAACGTCAGTCAGCCAGTCAGCTATGCATTCAGTCAGTCAGGCAGTCAGTCAGTCAGTCACCCAGTAATTCAACCAGTCAGCTAGTAGTCAGTCAGTCCGTCAGTCTGTCCGTCAGTCAGCCAGCCAGTCAAACAGTCAGAAAGTTAGTCAGTCAATCAGTCAGACAGTCAGTCAGTCAGCCAGTTAGTCAACCAGTCAGTCAGTTAGTCAACCAGTCAAGCTGTTAGTCAGTCAGTCAATCAGTCAGTCTGTCAGTCAGTCAACCAGTTAGTCACTCAGTCAGTCAATTAGTCAACCAGTCAGTCCGTTAGTAAGTCAGCCAGCAAGTTAGTTGGTCTGTCAGTCACTCACTCACTCACTCAGTCAGCCAGTTAGTCAACCAGTCAATCAGTTAGTCAACCAGTCAGTCAGTTAGCTAGTCAGTCAGTACGTTATTCAACCAGTCAGTCAGTCAGTCAACAAGTCAGTCGGTTAGTTAATCCATCAGTCAGTCAGCCAGCCAGTTATTCAGTCAGTTAGTTAGTCTCAATCAGTGAGTCAGTTAGTCAATTAGCCAGTAAGTGAGTTGGTCAGCTAGTCAGTCATTCAGTCAGTAAGTCAGTCAGTCAGCCAGTCAGTCAGCCAGTCAGCCATCAATCAACAAGACTGTCAATTACCAATGCTGACTGTATAAGCCATAACATAGATTGCATGTCTGAACTTACCTACAGTCAGTTTTACATCTTAGTTTTATCCTCCATGTGAAAATCAGATCATGAGAACTTTGAACAAAGTTCTTAAGACAGCGCTAACAAAGTTTCAAATTTGAAGTAGTTTTCAAATTTCAAATTTTGCAAAATTATGAATGATATTTTAGTTATCCACCCATTTTAATATTTTAACAAAGTTGTTGTTTGATAAAGTGGTAGGCTTGACAATTTTTTGGGCTAAAAGTCTGGGGTTGTGGAGTTCAGAGACTACCATTGAGTTGGTTATCATTTTTCAAAACATTTTAAGCGCGATGTAGTGTACGCAAGGTTCTTTGAACGAGAAAATGACTTGACTGAATAATGATTTGAAACTTCAATGCACATCAG